CCAATAAAAATTTGTTTCCCTCTATTTTACTGTTACTCAAATACTTATTTATCGACCAAGATCTAATAATAGATTCACTTAAATTGATTATAGTTAAGAATTTTAGCCCTATATCATGTTCATTCATAATTTATGTCTGATTCTTAATTGTGATATAAATTTAAAGAATTCCAATTAATTTATAACTTTTTAATATGGAAGCTTTAGTTAATCATTGAGTTCTATTCTCTTCATTGATCTGTACACTCGATTAAAATAGAAAATATTATTATTTAGATCCGATCTTAAAATGTTTTTCAGTTTGATTATTATTTCCATAGCCCCTTACAATTCGATAATTAAATTGAAATTCTCCTATTAATCCAAATTATAGACAAATTCTCTTAATCTTTGCTTATAGTATTTTCTCCCTTTACTTACTTCAGACCTACTACATATGGTTATCTTGTCTCCCTTTAAAATCTTTATTACAATTTCCTCCTTCTTCTCCATAATTTTAAAACCTATTCAAAAGCTCTTCCTACTTTAAGTTTACCATATAATGACATAAGTATCTAGAATCATGTAGTAATTACTTTACTTCTTTATTTTAATCTTATAATCATTATTCCTTATCCTGAAAAAAATCAACAGTTTTCAATTATAATTATTAATACATAGTGTAATTTATAATTTGAATATACAATAGCAATTTATTATAATTCTGATCTAATTAATTATTTTATTAGCAATAAAATAAAATATCTTCTTTTCATTTTTATTCCCCATCAGTACTAAAAATAGGACGAATCATAATAATTTATGTTTTTTCAACTTTCCATCCAATTAGGGCTAAATTCATAATTATCAAAATTTTTTAGATATAATTATTATCTATCTATCTTTCTTAATCCAAAAAATTTATCACTCTCTTACACACTAAAATCCCATCCTTTTGATAAAAATGTTTACCATTGAATAATATTTTCATTTTTGGATCATATCAACAGCCTTCCTAACTTAAAGGTAGTCTGGTTTGTCTTACTGTCTCTCATGGAAATGATTTCAAATTTTCTGCTCCAAATAAGGTCTTCTTTCTAAATTCAAAGGTGAATCTTATTTAGAATAAATCTAACCATAAATCCCTTGATTAGAACCAAAACTCTTCATTAAATTTCTTTAATTGAGTTGAATATAGTTGAATGAATTTATTCAAATGGAATATATCACTATAAAAAAATCAACTTTTTTTAACAATTCATATTCAAGGGACTTAATCTCATTAATGATATAAACAGATCAGTATTATTGATTTATGATTACTAAATTTGGCTTTGATTAGATTTATATGAAATTTAAAAGTACATTAAAATAAAATATACTATTATCATATAAGAATCTTGAGAGATTATAAGTTTCAAAGTTAAATATTTTTTCTTACTAAAATAATAATTTTTAACATATATTAATAGCTAAATTAATCTAAAAGTTAAATTAATAACCTTAAATTACATATTATTTAAAATAGACTAGCTTCTTAATTTATTTTTATCATTAAGTCTCTACTAAGCTGGAACTCTGAGGTTAATTAACCTATAATTTTAATTGGAAAGGAACTATAAATCCATTTGCTCCCCTTATATTGGGTTGCTTAAATTGGAACTTACAATGGCGAAAGCCCAGCAAATTTGAAACCCAAAATATAAAAACTATTTGATCTCCGATTTGACTTAATTTAAAAAATAAAGGTTTCCATTATCTACATCTATCCAGATAATATCTTCTTATTAACCTTCATATATAATCACATTTCTGATTTCACTGTCATATAAAATAACATCTTGTGAAAAAGAGATCTCCTTCATTTGAAGGATACTCTATGCATTTTACAGATTTATCCTGAGATTCAACTAACATTTATTAAAGTTATTGGAGTATTTATTCATTTAAAAAAGCTAACAAGGATTAATATAATATTAAAATTTTCTCTACTTTACTATAGTCCAGTATTCTTTTAAGGTAATATCATTAATCTTTTTATTCCTACTAATATTTAAGAATTTTAGGTTTCAAAAATTCTAATGCAACTTTTGTTTATTTCTAACAAGAGGTTCAATTTATTCTTCTATCTTCTTCTAATAGTCCATTATTATGATCTGAAAGAGGTGAAAATTTTCATGTACGAAAATTATTTGCGCATTTTCTCATTTATTGACAGATGTAAAAAATTGATTTGAATCTTTTTTAGGATTTCAGAATTTTCTCTTTTGGCATTAAATATATAGTATTCTGGATAATTGAGATGAACATTTAAATCAATAATAAAAATTTGAGGTCTCTAGGTAACTTAAGATGATACTGACCTTTTTTATTTAATTATGTGTTAAGAAAAATTCTTCGGGTTATCAAACTATCAATTTATTAACTCATAAAGAGCCATTTTCTATTAATCAGTAATTAATTTATTGAATTGAAATGAATAGATCTAAATATCTAATATTAGTTTTTGTAAATTTTTTCATCTCATGAATATGTTTTAGGTTAATCCTTTCAATTAGTAATAATTTACATCTAAAATAAGTAAAAAGATGATCTTGTAAAAGTGCTGGAAACCAATATTCGAAAAGTCTATTCTATTCTCAAATTACAAAGAAAGAATTTCTATCATCTCAAGAAAGCTAGAATATTCTCTGCAATTTCATAGTTAATGTTCATTTTATTATAGAAAATATTCAACTACTTATTACAATGATTCCTTTAAGCTTTATGTACCTAATTTACTAACCCAAGTACAACTAATAAATATTAAGGAACCCTGAAAAGGGATATAATTTTAAAATACATAATAATTTAATAATAAAAGAAAAAATATCAAATATAATTAAATAATAAAATCCTGCTGTTATAGTCTGGAATTTTTATGATTTTTGATTCGACTGGTAATATTTGAATCAGCTTTATTATTTTATAAATAATTGAGATAGAGACTGTAATCTATAGGAAAAATTACTTTGGTTTGCCGAAATATTTCCAAACTTACTCTTAACTCTAAATAAATATGTTGAACAAAAAGATAAGCCCTAATTGAAGATATCTCGGTTGAATTTAGTATTGGATCAAAAAATGTTATTAATATTATCGTAAGAAATGATTAGTATTCAAAAGTAAAAATAATGATTCCTTTATATATTATTCTTATGAATTCATTGAATATCTTTTTATATCTAACATTTCAATTCTTTTTACTTAATACTATTATCCATTTTAAACAAAAAATTTGTTTTTCATCATCGCAAAAAGCTGAGAAGATTGTGTTATACAATTTTTTCTGGTATTATATTTTATTTTATTGAAAACTAAAATAAAATAACTTTTTAAACTTGTGACATAGATACAAAATTTTTAATTTTAATTTCTATTTATCACTAATTGATTATATCTATTGACAGATCGGAATCATTATTCTCATTCCAAAAATATATCATCCTAAAATTTTTAATTAGCAAATAAGAATCCACAATCCCTGCAAACATGATGTATTTTTTTCTAATGCAACTTAAAAAAAATTTTACTTATTTTTAAGTTTCTAAATTTTAGGGGGATTCACATTTATTATTCAGTTGTACATCAAGGGGCTTATTTAAAATTACTCAAATTCAATCTTGATCATCGTTACCATTTTCAAATTTACTCAAAACCTTTTTGATATATCTTCTTTCAAATAAAATCCCAAAATCCATCTATTTTTCAATATAATTCTAAAAAAAGAGCCTTTATGTAAGGATATTATTTCTTTGTGAGGATATTTTTTTTTTATGAAATGTATTACCAAGGTTTTCGTTGACTAGGCTTTAGCATTTTCTTATTTACAGTCTTATCTCAAAAAAATATAAAAATTTAAGTCTCTAAATAATTTTAAACGGCAGATTCACTTTAAATGTACTTAAAAAACTTCTTAGCTTTCAAGATATGTTTACCTTAACAAACAAAAGTTTAATTTCTAAAACATAAGATAGAGGCAATATATAGATAATTTCAATGATAGTTTAAAATCTTTTTGGAGTATTTAATCCATGGTTTCTTAGTATAAAGGATTATTGCTTTTCTAATCCATTCTGGTAATTACATATATTTTCTAATCCATTATTTAATTCTTCTTTTTCATAATCCTAATTTAATTCTTTTAAAATATAACTAAAGTAAAAATTTAATAATAATCTTATGATTTTCTATAATAAGAACTGAAAAAATTTTTAATCACCACAGATATACAAAATCATTCTTTTTAATAAACTGAAAATAAGCCCTACTCATCTCCTAGGTAGAAATGAGAACTTTTATCAATAAACTGTTTTTTACTACCTTCTAATTATCTTATTAGTAAAATTATTTTATAATGTTTTTTCTACTTTTTAAATAATTACTAGAATTTTTACTATCGACTAATGGTTCACCGCTTTGACTCACAAGCTTCTTAAAACCGCATCTTTAGAAGTGAATTTTCTATAGCTGTGATTGCAATTAAAGCTGAGTTTTAGAAACACTTATGAAATAACCAAGGCTTAATAATTAAGGTGATTTTCTAAAAAGATATATTTATCTTAAGTTTTAAATGCAATAACTTATATTTATAACAATTGAAGTTATTGTTTTATGATCCAAAAAAAATATAACTATCAAATTTCTCAATTATAACTTAAAAACTAGAGAAGAATAGAGATTATGTATTAATGACTCATTTTTATCGTTTGTCCTTTCAATAACAGTTTGTGATTTTTAATAAATATTTTTTAAACATAATATGACTAAGTCAAAAAAATTATAATAAACCAATAAAAGAAATTATACAAAGGGTTGCTTTATACTTAGTTTACCTAAGATTACATAGTTTACTGTTTAACAATGATGTTTCACTATTATTGAATAAGTGATATATAATTTGAAAATTGAAATTATTAAGATATTTAAGAATTTTATTGAGTTTTGAGTGTTTTAGAATATTTTCTAATTAATATTTTTATTCAAACAAACTATAATTCATATATCTCACATTCTTTTATCTCTGGCTTGTTTTATCCAAATAAATATGGATCATCATTACCACCCTTATATTAATTAAATTAATATGAACAACCTAATCTAGAATTACCATCATTAAAATCACCTTATATATAAATATCATATCCTTATCCAAATCTAGGTCCATTACCTGAATAACAATAAATAGCATATTATTTTTAATCTTACTTCAAAGGATAAACTTAATCATGAGTTTATGAAAATATAAAAGATGATAATGTATTATCTTCTATATATTTACCATTACATGATTCCCATTTACAAGGAGAGTATGCTCCAAAGATATAATCACTTTTCGATTTAAATACCATAAGTAAGTTCTCTTTACCATTTACTTTCTTCCAATATTATTAATTATTTAATCCATCTCTTGTACCTTAATAAATCAAAACTGGCTATTTTATATTTTTTTTAGTCCTCTCTTATAAAATATAAAATATTTTGATCCAGTAATCAGCTTTAAGTAGATTTGGTTTTAATATCTAATCAAATTTATTTTTTTGAAATATTTATTATAAAAAGCAGTTTTTTTTTTCCAAATTTAACAGATCATTTTTAGATTAAATAACCAAATGTTTTAACAGGTCTTCATGGTTTTTTTAATCCTTAGTATTTTCCTATACTACCGTATTCATATTTTATAGTTAATTCCTAATTTTATCATCCAATTATTATATCATTATTTATTTTAATTTTCTTATTAAATTAATTTCTTCTACTATAATAATTGAGCGGTATTTTCTTCTTTTATCGACTCCGACAACGATGCCAATTATTAATCATTTTTTTATATAAATTAATCCATTCTTTTATTTTATTTTACAATTAATAAATCTTTTGCATTTATTTCATCATTTATTTTTGATATTAACTCTTCTTTTTATAATTAAGTTTATGTAGTTTATTAAGTATCTACTTCTTTTATTTTTTCTGTTAACTTCTCAACTTTTTAATCAACAGTTATAATTTATGTTTCAATACTATTTGTTAATGATTATAATTTATCTGAGACTTCAGACGATTTTTCTCTTTCTTTTAATTCTGACTATACATCATCAATTTATTAATTCAACTCATTATATTTTGTAGTTAATTATTCCAATCGTATTTCACTAGACTGAGTTAATTCCAATAAATTTTACTTAAGTTCATTATTTTAAGTTGTTTCTTTATTAAATTATTCAACAAATTCTTATTCTTATTTAAAGAATTTTTAATTCATATTTTCTTCTAAATCAACAATTTTTTACTGGATTTATTTAATTTCTTATTTTTCCTCATCAATTTTTAGCTGCAATTCTTCTTTTTATTTGGTAATTAATAACAATTATTTTTCATTTTCATCAGCATTTATCAATTTCCTCATTTTTTCTGAATTTATTTCATATTATTTAAATTATTATTAGAGTAAAGTATATTTACACATTATCGGTATCATTTTTTCCTTACAATTCAATAAATTATTCTAGTTAACCTTTTTATTCAAGCTACTATACTTTTTTCTATAATTCTATTTGAAATTCAACTGATTCAGAATGTATTTATAAATATTACTCTTACTATTAACAATTTGATATAAATTCGTGTATTTCAGGGGTTATTTTAACATCAGCTTATGGATTATTTCCTATTTCTTTTTTATCTATAATATAATCAAACAAATTACCTTGTTATTCTTAAATAATTGTCATCAATTATTACTTGCAAAGTAAATCATGTTTAATAAGGGTTTCTAATTTTGATTTGACATTCTGATAAAATAATTAATCAAGTCTATCTTGTTTCTCCTATTACTAAAGGATATGTTTATTTTTATCTTATTAACTTAATAAATCAATCATCTTTTCAACTTATTTTTCATCGAATTCAAATATCTATTTATTCTCTAATTTAAGGGAATCGTAAAATTCTTAATTATTTTAAATAAGCTATTCATCTATAGATGACAACATTTCTGATAATTAATTATTATAATGGTTTTTTAGTTATTTGATTTATTATATAACCATTTTAAATGTTTTTTCTCTTTTAAAATTATGTTTAGAAATTAAATCTTCTGATTCTCCAATAAGAGTATTCCACATATTATTTGCTTCTTTTAAACTAATATATTGAATAGGGTTTTCTTGAATACATTCTACGCATGCCAATCGACCGAATTTTGGCTCATTGTAATTTACATTTAACATAATTACTTCTTTGTTATGCTTATTGCATATCTAATTCAGACATGGAGTTTTCTAAGAATATCAATAAATTAATTACATGTTAATCAAATTCTTTTGCAGGCGTTTCGTTTATTTTGGCCTATTAAGTGATTGGTATACTTGATCTTATTTAATCTATGGATTCCATAATTTATATAAAATTTTATGATTTTGACTAAGATTATAATGATTCATAAATTAATTAAACAAGGGCCACATCTATTTCCTTGTAGGTTTGTTATTTCGGTATATTATAACTAAAATTTCCTATATAATTTTTTGATAGAATTTGAATTTCATCATCATAATTTTTGATTTCAAACTTTGAATCCTTTGATTCAATTTCAGTTTGGATCTATTCCATTTATTGATCAACTAAATGAAGCAATTTTCCTAATTCCGTCTTGATTTAGTTTTTAAAGGATTTAATGGATGATTATAATTATTTTAAATTAGTTAATCTAAGTACATTTTCTTCCTTTGCAATTTTTAAAGATTGGGTTTTCATGCTTTATATCATTTCAGTAGCTTCATTTAGCAATGTCATGTTTTCTTTATCAACTCTCTCAGCCAGACACCTAGTGCATAAATATTTATCGTCTATTCTAGTTTATGATTTCAAATCAACTGCCACTATTTCTAATTTATGAACTTAACAAAGTTTTTTTTCTATTTCTAATGTTGTTTGCATAAGATATTATTGTTTATTTAATTAATTCAAATTTTCTTATATATATTCAAATATAAATGAGGAATTATAATGAGATGAAAATTTAGAATTAATAGAATTACATTAAATTTAATAAAATCCAAAAATAATTATTATTGTAAATAATGGATTTATTTTCTTTGGCAATAAAGATTAAATAATTTTAGAGATATTACTTATAATAGGGGTTTATTTGAGGACACAATTCTTGCTAATCTTATTCTTAATTATCAGTATTCCAATATTCTTCCAAATAACTATAATTTAAGAAAAAAAAAATACAATAGAATAGAATAGAATGCTGAAATTTTATGTTTAGCTTTTTATATTCATAAAATACTTATTATNATTAAATCTTCTGATTCTCCAATAAGAGTATTCCACATATTATTTGCTTCTTTTAAGCTAATATATTGAATAGGGTTTTCTTGAATACATTCTACGCATGCCAATCGACCGAATTTAGGCTCATTGTAATTAACATTTAACATAATTATTTCTTTGTTATGCTTATTGCATATCTAATTCAGACATGGAGTTTTCTAAGAATATCAATAAATTAATAACATGTTAATCAAATTCTTTTGCAGGCGTTTCGTTTATTTTGGCCTATTAAGTGATTGGTATACTTGATCTTATTTAATCTATGGATTCCATAATTTATATAAAATTTTATGATTTTGACTAAGATTATAATGATTCATAAATTAATTAAACAAGGGCCACATCTTTTTCCTTGTAGGTTTGTTATTTCGGTATATTATAACTAAAATTTCCTATATAATTTTTTGATAGAATTTGAATTTCCTCATCATAATTTTTGATTTCTAACTTTGAATCCTTTGATTCAATTTCAGTTTGGATCTATTCCATTTATTGATCAACTAATTGAAGCAATTTTCCTAATTCCGTCTTGATTTAGTTTTTAAAGGATTTAATGGATGATTATAATTATTTTAAATTAGTTAATCTAAGTACATTTTCTTCCTTTGCAATTTTTAAAGATTGGGTTTTCATGCTTTATATCATTTCAGTAGCTTCATTTAGCAATGTCATGTTTTCTTTATCAACTCTCTCAGCCAGACACCTAGTGCATAAATATTTATCGTCTATTCTAGTTTATGATTTCAAATCAACTGCCACTATTTCTAATTTATGAACTTAACAAAGTTTTTTTTCTATTTCTAATGTTGTTTGCATAAGATATTATTGTTTATTTAATTAATTCAAATTTTCTTATATATATTCAAATATAAATGAGGAATTATAATGAGATGAAAATTTAGAATTAATAGAATTACATTAAATTTAATAAAATCCAAAAATAATTATTATTGTAAATAATGGATTTATTTTCTTTGGCAATAAAGATTAAATAATTTTAGAGATATTACTTATAATAGGGGTTTATTTGAGGACACAATTCTTGCTAATCTTATTCTTAATTATCAGTATTCCAATATTCTTCCAAATAACTATAATTTAAGAAAAAAAAAATACAATAGAATAGAATAGAATGCTGAAATTTTATGTTTAGCTTTTTATATTCATAAAATACTTATTATGCTCCTATTAATATTTTCCTTTCCATCCAGCTAGCCTAAAAAATATAGAACCAATTCTTCCATTTTGGTTCAAACAAACTTAGCCAACATCTATTTACTATGGTTAATTTTAATTTTTCTATTTGAGGTCAATACAAAAAAATTCTTTTATCATTTTTAAAGCTAATTAAATTAAAATATTTATTCCTAGTTCTATTTAATATTTATGCCAGATTGATAATATTTTAAATTTTAACTAGTGAATTAAAATAAAATTGAGGCAACTGTTTCCAGAAAATATTAAAATTAAAAAAGAAATCAAATGAGTCTGAGAATTATTTATCAATATAAATTTATAAAATTAAGGGCGATTTAATAGCTATGTATTGAATGAAATAACACCATGATAATTTTAATAATTTTTTAATTTCTGATGTTCATAATAAAATTCTTTTACTATATATCTATAATTTGGAATTTAACTTAAATTTAAATCTCACAATCGAATAAATAATAGCTATTAGGTAAGATAATAATTATTTTATAATTTTTTTTATATAATATAAATTGATAAATATTATTTGTATTTCATATATTCAAATTCAAATTATATCATGTATTATATTAGTTTCTGGGGGCTTTCTAATTAATTCTAATTTTTAAATACATTATAAGAATTATAAAATTAAAAATAATCAGTAAAGATTTAAGTTTTATACTTTCTTCCTCTTTGATTTAAGGATTTAAAGTAATTTATAAGTTTGATACTTGATTACTAATTAGAATATCCTCAGAACCTTACAAGCATTATTATTGACATAAAATAGTGTAAGCTTAAATATTAATTAATTTTAATTCCACAAAATTTTCCTTTTTAGTGTTTTCAATTTATTAAGATTAGTCAAATTATTGAAATTCCACATTCTTTACATATTAATAAAAACTATCTAGAATTTGTGCATCTTTATTATTCAAATTATAAAAATAGGAAATTATTTGTAAACCTTAATATTGAATTATTAAATACTTGTAACTTAATAAATTTACCTGTTTGATTTTATTCTCAAGATTTGGATATCTAATTGTAGAAGTAGCTTAGAATTCTAATTTTTCATTATTAAATTTTATTTGAAGATACATCCTTTAGCATAAAAGATATTCAAAACAAAGTATTAAATCTACTTCAAAAATAAAATCTTAAAATACATGCTCGATAATTTCTATTTGAATAAGACAAGATAAAATTTTAACATCATATTCTGGAATTAGATATTTTAATGAAATTTCAATTTTTTTAATTGTATAATACTAATTGTTCAGAATAAAAACCGTAAATGTTTCTATTTAAAATTTATGAGAATTAAATATTATATAACTGTCTTTTTAGTATAATATCTTAATAGTTCAATAGCGATTTACTTTATTACACTCCCAAAGTTCGTAAAATAATTATAAAGAATTTTCTGAAATTAAAAAAATCAATGAAGTGCTAACATTAGATTTAAGTATTCCAAAATTTCCAACAACTGTTAATGATGTATCAGATAGTAATAAGTCTGGAAATACCTATCGAATACTTATTGTTTTATTATTTAAAATCTACTAAAGCTAATTAATTACATACCCTCTGGATTTGAAATAATCAAAAATAATTCATAACAATGATTAACTTTCCTAAAAAACTAATATTATGACAATGTTATTTCTGGTAAATTAATAACTACTTAATTTTGTTCATCAAAGTAATTCAAGACTATTTGTTCACTTTATTATATGCAAATTTATATATAGAATGGATACAAACAAGAATATTGATCTACTATAATTATTGGATTTAATTTTATTGTCTATCCATTTTATCTACCAAAAACATTATCTAATATAATTTCCTTATTTTGTTATTCAATAGAATAATAATGGAATTGATTAATTTTTTACTTGTAATTGATAATTGGTATTAGTAGCTATCAATTAAACTGTTATATTTTAGATTAGCAAAAAAAAATCAGATTTTTTTTAAAGTACAACAAATTACTTGTAGAAATAGGTGTGAATAAAATATAAGATTTTTTTATATTTGAATCAAATTAAAAATTAGGTAAATGTAAGAAGACCCATTATAAAAAATAAACTGTAATTTAATTTCTAAATTAAATGTAGATTTAAGATTGATCAATAAAATTAAACTAATGATAATTCGGATATATTTCAATAACCTTAATCAGGCAATTAGTTGCTATTTATTTGATATTGTACACCATTAAAAAATATTAACTTTATTAATTTATAACAATTATTGCTAAATAAGTTTTAGCTACTTTATATCATATTGGTTGAATAATTTCAAAATCATAAAAAGGTAAATTATAAAGAAAGTTTAATTTTTATGATGAAAGATTATACAGCTTTGCGATAATTTATGTTCCTTATATATCTAAATTTCTTATTTAGAATATAATTCAAAGAGAATCAAATATTCAGTATCTAAAGTAAATAGATATATTTTTTTGTACAAATAGATGTTTTAGAGTAAAGTATTGAATTTATAAGTTAACTTCAATGATGTGGCATTTTTAATTTTTATTTCATTTTTGAAAATTGCAATAAACAACTTATTATCTATCGAATATGTACAGTTTTATTGAGATGAATAGTTTATTTACTAATAAATCATATTCTCCAAATCAATTTTAATTTCATTACATTATTCTTATTATATTGCTAGATTATCTCCAATTTAAAAGATATCAATAACTATTAAACTTGCTCTAAATAACCAACTTTCTTTTTATTATTCTTAATATTTAAACCCAATAATTGTTTAATTATTTACAATGACAAAATTTTATTTAGAAATACTTGAAAATATTTTGAATTATTTGAAAAGAAGGAGATTTTTTAATTATTTTTAAGCCCCTTTGCCTAATCGAAAATAGTAATACCATTATGATTACCAAATTTCAAAAGTAAATAGTTTTTTTTTTATAAAGTGCTAAAGATAATCATATTTTGATTAACTTATGAATTTTCAAATGTGATAGAATTAGTATTGAAAACGGTAAACCTATAGAATTATAAGAGTAAAGTGTAATTAATTTACTATACTAGAACATTTTATCTTATAAAACATAAGCTACATTTTGTACTATTGTAGTTAACAACTATGGATGTTAAAAAGAATACAAATTAACTTTGTATTATATAACTTAACTAAATTTGAAAAAAGAATCAAATTAATAAATCGATAAGCATTATGAATAAGAATATTGAATATAATTGGGTAAATCATTTATTGATAAAAGATTAAGATAGTTTTGCTAAGTTAAGATAATTATATAAGGTAATCCTGTTAAGAAATTAATGGATTTGTAGTCTTGATAAAATTCTAAATGAATGTATTCATTATTAAATATGAGTATGAAATTAGTAGAGATTATAACCAAATTTTAATTGATAATTTAAGATTTTATTATTTACCTTTTGATAAGTTATACTAAAAAATATTTGAAAAAAGATTATATATTTTTGATTATGTGGTATCCAACATCAAATAATAAGAGTTTCCATTGACAGTCAATATATTATAATATTATAATATTATAATATTCTATTGAAACTATTCGAATTTCACTAATATAAAATATTTCAAAAACTAATGATCAAGTTATCTATATTGGAAAAATACATAAATTTAATTATGTTATTTAAAATCTAGATTATTGATTACACCAGATTAACTATAATTTAATTTAAATCAAGAGTGAATTAATAAAGTAGAAAATGATATTTTTCTATATTAATTCTGATAATAGAGAATTAACAAACTTATTGATGTATTTCATATATTATTAATTAATCTACATCTTGAATGCTTTATTATTATTCCATATATTTAATAGAAGAAATAATAAGAATAAATTCTAATGTATCAAGTAATTTATTATTTTAATTTAGTAATTTGAATGTTAACCCAAAGTCATTTTAACATTAAATAATGTATATATTTTTTATAGTAAATTAAATACTTTTAAGCATTAGAGAAAAATAGTTGGAACTTAAGTAAAAAATCCTTATTAGATTACTAAATTATTATTAATAAGCATATTAGACAGTTTGAATTTACAATCAATCTAGTTTTAAATAGTAGACATATATATTAATCATCCTAATTATGATCAACAAAAGTAATAATATCTATTACTTTTTCATCAATATCAAAAGTTTGATGTATATTGATCAAAGTATTTGAGATCTAAGTAAATTATTACTATTTTTCAATTAATTCATCATTAGTATGATCATAATAAGTATCACTGGATTATAATATTACACTTTTCTTTTAAAGGTATATGTATTCATTTGGTGTCAAGTAAATTTCTTCAACACCAAGAATTTAAGAAATTTTAAGCAAAATCAATAATTTAAAAGGAACTTGATAATAAAATAATGCAAAATATATCAATAATTAAGAAAAACTTTTAAATTTGAATAAATTTTTTTTTTTATATTTTTGCTACTCATAGATATATTCTTGTCTTTAATTTAAAAATTAATAATTAACTTAACTTTAATTCATCCAATGTGTCAATGTTATTTGTTATTTGTACATTTATTCAAAAAGTTAAATTATCTTTAGAAATTGTTAATTAAATTGGG